GCCACAATTACGCCACCACACGCCATTTGTGCTTTTATTTATTTATTTATTTATTTATTTACAATCGGTGTGCATATAATATAGAATATCCATGAGTATATCTATCTGTCGCTGCTAGTGCCAGCAGGGCATCGATCGGGGCATGTACAACGACGACACCACACGCATTTTCTGCAAGCACGTATACACGATATATGCATGTATGCAATACATTATTACATCAGGCAGACAGGCAGGCATGTCCGCATGTGTTTAAGTTTTGTCGTCGGGGGACATGCTAATTCTTTCGGTTTTGGTCGGTTGCTGGTACAATACACATCGTCACAACCAGTAGGAGTATATTTGAACGAACTCATATGCCTGCCATGGCCATAGCTGCTGAGACGACCAGACCACCGTACCTGCCCGGCCCGGCCGATCCATTCCATCATTAGCACGCAGAGAATGAGTACCTGCTGCTGCTAGCAAAATAATACCGTATAATCCATGTTTTAAGCAGCAGGTAAGGGCCCCTCTGTCCAATGAGAAAACTGACACTTCTTTCAGATTTCGAGATCTAGCGACATGCATGCTGGGTCTTCTCTTTCTGTGGGGCATCATATACTACTCATCAAACTGAAACATCTGCATGTATGTGATACTGCGATTTGCTCTTTTTCGATGATTTCAAGCTCAGGGCTCAGGGACTGTTTGGAACGTAGGAATTTCACAGGAATCGCGCAGAGACTTCACAGGAATTTCACATGAATCGCACAGGAATTTCAATCAGTTCAATTTCACAAAAAAAAAACGCTGGAAGAGTTTCCCGCTTTCCAAACGTGCCCTCACTTTGTTTGAAAGCCGGGTCCAATCAGACACTAGTATTGTGTGACAAGCCATGTTTACAAGATTTGCAGCCATTTAACAACTAGATTTGGGGACAGGAGCTCCATGTGGTGCCTGTCAGCAAGCAGGTCCAATAAGCAGGGCCAGCCTCATCTGTTTTTGCACTCATATGTCTCCATAGATTCCTTCAGGGTTCAAAATTTCGGCGAAATTTCGGCTGAATTTTATGAAATTCGGTAATTTCGGTGGTGGCCGAAAGAAAACTCCGAAATTTTTAATACACTAATACATGTGCTATATAACTCTAATCTTATATTTTTCTATTGTTTATATTGCATATTCTTCTATTTAATAGATATGTAGTCATAAATCATACTAATATTTGTTTAGATCCAATTTTTTTTAGAAAAAAACATACTTCATGTGCTAATCTCTAAAAAAATTTCGGCAAAATTTCGGCCGAATTTTGCGAAATTCGGTAATTTTGGTGGTGGCCGAAATTTTGGCGATACCGAAATTAAGGCCCCGTTTAGATCCAAAATTTTTTGGATTTTGGCTCACTGTAGCATTTCGTTTGTATTTGATAATTAGTGTCTAATTATGGACTAATTAGGTTCAAAAGTTTCGTCTCGTGATTTCTCACCCAACTGTGCAATTAGTTTTTATTTTCGTCTACATTTAGTACTCCATACATGTACCGCAAGATTCGATGTGACGGGTACTGCGCAAAATTTTTTGGAATCTAAACAGGCCCTAAAAACCTTGGATTCCTTTGCACTGTTTGACTGTTGAAACAAACCAAACTAGTTTTTTTAAGGTAATAATAAAAGTTAATTCCTCTTTCAGTAAAATCTACATATATTAGCCAGATAGCATGCATGTGAGCATATTACCTCAGTTTGCTTGTCATCAAAATGCTGTATATTGTGGTTACTGATGATACCACAAAAGAAAATTCAGCAGTTGACAGATAATAAATAATATAAAGAGATGAGTTGTTGCAAGGGAAAAAAAATGCTGCTCCAGCATGTGCAGTTTTGCCTATAATTAGTTCTGCGGAAAACTATTGACATGCATGTTGCTGGCCTGTTGCTGACAGTTTATTTATGGTTATTCATTGAGATTAGAATCATATACAAGATCTAGAGAGGAAATAAAGAGGGAAGAGTTGGATCATACATACAGTAGAATAATGCAGCTTACTGAAACTTGCCAGACTGTCTGACCTAATTTCATTGGCCCTGGAAAATCTAATGTGAAGATACACACCCCCACCAATTCATATGCAGAAGCTGTCATGGCAAGCAACTTGTAATTGGATGGATGGATAGTGGCTGTTGCATGCAGAAGCAGCCAGGAAGCATGCATGTGACTCTTGAGAGTTTGACACTGGCTAAATCATATGGCTGGGGAACAATTCTGATGAACCCCAGCTAAAGAGTGAAGGAAAGTAGCTGAAAGCACACCTGTCCTACTAAATGCACATACATTTATTTTCTCATCATCCACTCATTCTCTCTCGATCATGCATGGGATAGGTAGATCGTAGATAGATGCTTCATGCATGCTTCACATCACAGCTTTTGTTTTTGAGCCACAAGATACCTGCTAAAAGGCCATGGATAGATAGCTGAAGCACGTTGTTGCTTCCAATTCCTTCCAACTCAAGACCTGCTGCTGCTTGTACTTTGTGACCTGTGACTCTGAGTGATGCATACTCCAACCAACCACTGCACACCATTGACCTTAGCTTTTAGGATCTCCCAGCTGCATGGCATGCTGACCTCAAATGACACCAGCAGCCTTGCATTGCATGCATATGCTGATTGCTCCCAAGCTGTCAGTAGTTTTTTTGTCCCAACAAGAACTGTGCAAGGAGGAAGGGGATCCAATGGATCATGAACTTTGAGTTCACTGGGAAGTAGCTAAAGGGGGTCCAATGGACCCCAAAAAATTTTCTTACATGCATGTTGAGTTCACTGGGAAGTAGCTTAGGAGTATTAAGTACTGTCTCTCTGTGCCATTAGCTAGGATGGTCAAACAGCACTGAACTTTGTGACCTGTGACTGAGAGTGATGCTCCAACCAACCACTGCACAGTCACACCATTGACATTTTAGGATTTGGCTCCCAGCTGCATGGCATGCTGACCTCAAGTGACACCAGCAGCGTTGCACTGCATGCATGCTGAATTGCTCCCAGTCCAAGCTGTTGTCTGGAGTGTCACTCTAGCAAATAATCTCATATATATACTCAAATGGCAGTCAGCTTGGCTGTACTGCCAGTAGATTTTTTGGGGTCCCAACAAGAACTGTCCAAGTAGAGGAAGGGAATAGGGGATCCAATGGAACACCAGCTACTACATCTATCATTGGTCATCTGCCATCCGGAGATAAAAATTTTCTTGCATGCATTTTCAGTTCATCACTAACTCATTCAGTTCACTGGGAATTGAAATAGCTTAGGAGTGATTACTAAGTACTACCTCTCAGTGCCATTAGCTAGGATGGTCAAACAGCACTACTGAACTGGCAAGGGTAATAAGTAGTTAGCGTTGAAACGATACGATGATGCAGCAGGAAAGGCGACTAAAAATGTGCTTGTGCGTCATGGAACTAATAATCCATGGTGTGTGTTTGTGGACGCAAATAATAATACCCCTAAAAAGCACACATTAGCTTGATAGAATTTCACATGCTGCATGCCTGAATGCCCTGCTGGCTTACTTTACTTTGTTCCCGCCCGGAGAGGGCTGGTGCTGCGGCATCTAGAAACAGAAACTTTTTCAGCTAGCAGCATCTCAGGAGCCAGTCATGGCATCACCGCAAAAATATGGGCTGACATGAAATGTATGATTTGAATGCAACCACTAAAATTCAAAGGCTTTTTTTTGTGTGTGTGTATGCATGCATGGCGACATGACAATGTTGCTGTCAGTGGCATAATGTAATGCCATATTGGTGCTTGACAAGCAAGCAAGAAGACTGAAATTACTCATGACTTGCCATGCGGAAATTTTCTACTGTATGCAATCTTAAAAATGGAAGGGGCGAAACTGTTGGCCCACAGTTAGCCTCCCGACCACCGAGATGATCTCCAGACCACTACAGATAGCCTCCAGACCACCGACCACAGCGTCCGACCACTACCTGATAGCCTCCAGACCACCGAGATAGCCTCCAGACCACTCCGTTGGTCTCACAGGATCACCGGCTCACGACAGTGAACCACTCCAGCCGATCTTGCCGAACACCGACTCAGGCGAGTGGAGCACTTGTCGGTCTCGCCGAGCACGCGCTAGTGTTGCCGAGCACCCACTAGCCGTGCAGACCACGTACCGGCGTTGTCCGTACCCACACACTACGGATCGAGCTAGAAGAGGAAGGGAGAACAGAGCAAGCACGCACAATACAAGGCAACAGCGTTGGCCGAAGCCCTGTCTGTGTGATGGCAAATCTGAGCTCTCTTTACTGAGTTGTCATACATGTCTATTTATACAACTCTAACTATCTAGTCCATGTGCAGCGCCCATGCTGGCACAGTAACTAGATAACCTGACAGGGCTGACTCTACGCCGACCACTGTCTGTTCCTACAGTGCTGCAGGTGAGCCGTACGGCGCCTGCACCTGCAGCGGCTACTGTATCACAGCAGGGGGCAAAGTCGGCGCCGCCTTCCCTTGCTGTGTTCACACACAGCATGCAGTTAAGTCGGCGCCGCCTTCGTCTGCTGTGTTCTCACAAGGTGGCAGTAGATTAGCTAACAGAAACAACTGAATTCACATATGCATCAATCAAGCAAAACAGCAGAGTTGCATTCCCTGATTGCAAATTTCTCACCACACGAGGCACAGCTCACAACTGTCTGCTAATCAAAAACCTGTACAGAGATCTTATGCACCAAGTTCACCATTGATTGAACTACCTAGGTCTAGAAAACAAACGAACGACGAAAAATAAACCCTTCCTAGCACCTAGCAGGAGAGGGCAAAAACACACGAGAGAAACTTGACATCGTGGCTAAAACATGAGAAAACTAATCAATCTAACTTTCTGCAAAGACCCTAGCAAAGATTTTGGTGATGTCTGTCGAGAACTTCCTCCGCAAAGCCCTGTTTATTGTATCAAAGATCCACCGTTGGTCCGTGTAGCAAGGTAACATTTTGTGAGTGCTACTGCTACAAGATGTTCGGCACTTGTGCTGACAGCTTCTCCTGCAGTTCTCTGATCTTAGAGCAGAGCTCCACCTTCTGCTCCTTGTAGCTCTGGAGGAGGAAATCTTTCCCCTCGATAACTTCCTTCAGCTCACCCACCTCTCTCCTTAGCATCTCCATCCTCTCTACCTCTCCTTTTCTCTTCTCTACACCATTACAGTGCACCTCATGGTCATCCACGCTGCTGTCAGAATAACCATTAGCATGCCCATTTGTGCCATTTGTCTGCCACTGTCTGGCTTGAAAAGCTTTATCAAGCGAGAGTGAGTCCGCAACGCAATGATCTGCGACGATCTTCCTTAGATGCTGAACCTCCCTCTCTGATTCAAACAGATCTTGGTTCGTGGCATCCAGTTGGGACTGCAACCCAGTGTTCTCAGTCGCCTGGATGGCCAGAGAGTTCTTAAGCTCCGCGATCTGAGCTTGCATCTCCATGATCATCTCATCACGTCTCTTGAGCTGCTGCCTCAGCTTCTGTATGACCTCTCGCTTGCCATAAATGTCGGATCCTGATTCTGAAATGGAGGGAGAGCCTGAGCAGTTTGAGTACTGAAATGTTGCTTTGCGAGGATCTTCAAGACGGTCAGGCGATGATGACCACATGATACCACTATTCTCTTTGCTTGATTCTGGTGCTGGTACCTTCACAAGAAGATTGGATGGTTCACTTGATTTGGATATAGGACTTGAAGGTGCTTGCTTGAGCTCCACTTCACCATCCGCATGCCCTGCATATCATAACCAGGGATAAATAATTTTCCCCCCAGTGGCGATTCTGCAGTGACTTTACTGCAAGGTACTTCCTCCATCCCCAATTATAAGTCATTCCAAGCATCTCAAGTTTGACCAAATTTATATAATAAAATAACAAAATTTATGATACCAAATAAGTATCATTAGATTAATTTTGGTCAAACTTGAGATGCTTTGACTCTCCAAGAAAGTTGAAATGACATAATTTGGAATGGAGGGAGTATTCTTTAATGGAGCATTAAATTCCTGTTGTTTTTTTATAGGCACACAGCGGTTTTGTATATTATGCTAGCTCTCAATTTAATCTCAGATGAAAAACATTAACACTGTGTACAGGGGCAAGGTTCTGATGAGCAGGTTATAGACAACAGAACATGCTAAAGGTACAGAAAATCACCTGACATGTAACAATGGCAGCTAGTTTGGTCACTGAACCTGTAGAGGTTGGAGTGCAGTTCACATACCCCAGGCCTTCTTTTGGCTGCAATTTCGCATAGTCAGCACTCGGCAGCAAAGCATTTTAAAGCACATGGAAAAGTGATACAGGTCACACTCCAAATGGATAAACGCAGACCTTTGGTAGAAGAGTTTTGCTGCTTGGTTTCAAACATCTGCTTCAATCTGCACCCAAGTCTGACTGAAAGTGTGCTGAGCAAAATGCCTCCTGCAACAAGAACCCAGTTTGGCCCTCCATGGACATGATCACCCTTCCCTGCCTTCTTTATGCTCCCATTAGCCTTAGCCTTCATCTTAAGAACCATTGATTTTCTTTCAGACTAGTGTGCACATTCGCCTACATATATATGGATAAGATACCAATGTGGTAAGCAACACGGTTCCCATGTTCACGCAGGAGAAAGAAATGATGCATCCACTAACACATATATGCATCGTACGGGTTTGAATGTTTGAGGTACACATAATCTGAAGTCCTGAATGAAGGGTGGATATGGCTCAAGAGACGACTAAATTCATAAGTACAAGTGGAAATGGCTAAAAACACAGGAACTGAATGCATCAAAAGGGTTTGATCAAATGATAACGAGGGTCCGATTGGATGATTCATGATTTTTTCCCCAGAAAGACCCTGGACAGTTGGATTACCAATTGAAAACATACGGATGGATTAATTAACCTTTAAAGGCGCCCAAATTTGGAAGGACAGGTCGCAAAGGATAAAACAAAAACACATATACGTACTGCCGCCAAGCTGTTACTGCATCCTAATTGCCACCAATCCAAATAAGAACGTGCGCACGGACCTGCGAAACAGCCGAAGTGGGGTTCTCACCGGCCGGTCACGCTCCGGCCGCCCGGAAGACGCCGCCTCCACCTGCGCGCCTCCCTAGTCCCTCCGTTTGGCCGGCTGGTTCCCCGTTGCCGCGGTCCCTCGCCCCCCGCCGCGTCGACCGCACGCTTCGGCGCCCACGGCCCTGCCGCAACGACCGCCGTGGCCACTGGCCGCGCCGCAGCCTGGCGTGAACTGCCAGCCGCCAGCGGAGTGAGGGTTGGGGCCTGGGGGATTCGGATTTCGGGGTCACGTGAGGCGTGCGTGAGAGACAGCGAGTAAGCGGAGTGAGGCTGCTTGAATTTGGGCCCACGTTGCGGCCTGTACGAAAAGCCCATAGCCCGATCAGTGGCCGAGGAAGGACTAATCACTCAAGCACCTAATACTCAGTTTGGTCCACTAAAAAAAAACTAATACTCAGTATGGATACAAATATTTTAGTAGTTTTAGAAAAAGTATCAGTGGTTTACAAAATATTCTGGCTTTGTAGCTACATGAAGTTCTCAGATGCAATAAGCTTTATGGTTTTATATAAAATCATAGTGTTACTCAATTTGTAGTCGTTTTAGAGTTTTAAAAACTCCACTATGGATCTTTTTTTCTTTCTAAACCATAGTTTGCCACTTCTACAGGTTCTAAAACTTTAATGTCTTGATATCACTGTTAGAATCTCTTTTTATCTAAACCATGGTTTCTTAATACTACATCCAAACAGAGTCTCTTTTATCTAAACCATGGTTTCACACGTCTATAGGTTCTATTCTAAAACTGTAATTTCTTAATGCCAGTTTCTCAATACTACAACAACCAAACAGGCTCAATTGATTCCAAATTTTGATAAGAAAAAAAAACTTGATTCCGAGTGGAAAAGGTTTGCCCTTTTTTCCCAGGAGAAAAACTCTCTTGATATATAGCATCGTTTGGAGCATAGTACGTCACATATTTCTTCGACAGAAGGCTATCAAACAAAAGTGACTGCAACAAAATGCTTCATTCAGATCGATTAAATCATCACATACAGAATCAGAATATCAGATGGCCTCACAAGTCACAGTTCTCTCGACCAGTTCACTCTGCTCGCAAATGCTACAAGTTCAGTCACTTAAACTTCCATTACTAAATGATAAAAACCCCATGCCCAGTATGGTCATGAGCCTCTATAGGGTGACCACGAGCTCCCAGCTGCTAAGCAGCTCGAGTCATGTCAATGCAAGGAAATCCTCCCTAGATAACAGATGTTCCTGCAGCTGGAGTTGAAGGAGCCTCGAGGCTTTCTGCTGCCATTTGCCTTCGTGGTAACTTTCGCGATCCACTTTTCCTTGCTCGTGAACTTATCACAGTTTCGAGCTCTTTTTTTCGACCGTGCCACTTTAAATGGACAAGGGAGAGTAAGAACTTCAAAGTTAGTATCAGGTCATGACAAAAACAAATAGAAATTAAATAGTATAGCAGCCTATCTGACACAAACAACTCTATTTGGAGAAAAAAAATCAGAATACTTGCTGGTTAAGAGAGAGATTTGTGAAACTAGAGTCTAAAAGACATAATAAGAAGACAAAAATATCTGGCAACGGATCAACTGTGGGCTGCAGCCATTTACCTTAGCTAGTCTCTCCTTAAGCTTTGGCTTTGCAGATACTACCACCCTTGTTGGTTGACGGTCTGAGTTTTGTAGCAACATCTTCTCAGGTTTCAACTTCTTTGTCCCTGTGGCCTGTTCTTTCCTTCTCCTTGCTGCTTGAAGCCTCTTGGCAACAATTTTTGCCACTGCCTTTTTAAGCTTCTTGATTATCCGTCCCCTCTCTTCATTCCACAGGAACATAGATATCATCTTTGACTTTATCCTTTCATAGCTGTCCCAGTCAAGCTTATTTTGGCTGTGATCACCATTCTTTGCTGCTTCAGCTATACTATTTGACCATATCTGCAGAACCTTCTGTCTTGATTGGACAGAAACTATCCGCCTCTCCCAGATCGTCCTCAGTGCGGTACTTATTTTGTCTTTGCTTGTTTGTCTGAAATAAGATCAAGAATAGCAACTTTCAGAATATAAAGAGCTATACATGCATCCACTGATCTAAATAACAAAAACATTCTGCACCTATGTAGCTGACGATGTCCTAACATTTTCTTCCTAACCTGGGTTTTAAAAAAAGAGGAGGGGAGAATTTGAATTAAATTTCCCCAGATAGATCACAATCCACAGCAAAGCAGCTCTTGGACTGATGCAAGAATAGCCAGGGAAGTTTCTTACATGACATCACCTTGGGGTCTCTCAGAGCTTCAGCAGTCCGTTGCTTGATGAGCTTCTTGTGCTCTGCAGGAGAATGGCACACCCCTCATTGAAAGAAAATGGCATGATACAGCACTGAACTGTAATACTGCTGGTGCTGGCACAATAATTAACAGTGAAAGGCTGACCATACCTTCACTCCATTTCCTGCCTTTTATCCAGGGAACCTTCCCCTTGTTCGCAGCACCAATCTTCCGTCTTCTCTCAATTTCTTGATCCGACAAATCTGTGAAGTAAGCAACACCTTGTAGCTGACAAGATTGGAGATCTTGAACTTGCTTCACAGAGCTCTTTTTCACAGAATATTGTCCACTTGAAACCGGGGCTGAGTAAGAAGAATGATAGGACCATTGTTCATCCATTCCATGGGCCAATTGTTGGCAAGCTAGTTCTTTCAGGGATGACTGGGGCAAAAGAAACTCCCGATATTGAATTAATTGGCTTGACTTCTGAAGTTCTTTATGTGGTAGAGTTAGGTCCACCAATGCACAGCACTTGTTACAAGATGATTTTCTTCTTGAAGAAGTACCAGAACCATATACAAAGCTCACAGGAACGTACGCCCTGTATACAACATTTTCGGTCAGAGAACCAGAGGTTAGCTCACAGTGGACAACGTATCGATTGAAAAAGTGCTAATTACTCAGCAATGCTCCTCTTCTTGGAGCCACCTTGTTTTTGATGAGTGAAATAGTAAGAGCATCTGGCTGCATGAAATTAAATTTATGTTAAGCTTTGACACAGTTGAATGAATTAACAAGTTCTGGCATTCGCAATCAACCGAGCAGTGGTACGCTTGAACATTGAAGCCTGTCGTGGATACATTTCCATTTTTCAAATTCCTACATACTTATCACTCAGAAATATTGTGTCTATATGTATATGGTATCATGCTCAAAACAATATGTATATGGTACTATTCTACAAACATTAAAATTGCACATAATTCAATACGTACGAAATATCATCTCTAACACCGAGCAACTTTTTATTTAGTATACTGCATAGACTGAGGTTTGCACAACCTCTATGCGCGTTATTGTCCGGCTGTACTAAAGCTACCTCCTGCATAGTCTCGAGCAGGCTGGACCTCCATGGGAGCAGGCGAGCAGCGACAGCAATGGAATGGCGCGCGCACTCCTGACTCCAGACTCCTGTGTCCTGAGTGCCCCCGTGCCCGTGGCCAGGGATTCGAGTACCCGGGGCCACGGCGCGTAGACAATGCCGGTCGATTCGAACAATTCGAACACAGCAAATTCCACGAAAACGCTCCCACGGCTAATACTCGCAGGGGCAGGACAAAGGGAAAGTCCAAGAGAATGGAACACAAAAGGAGGGAGGGGGCGTTACCTGGAACAGTGGACAGCGGCGGCCATGGCTTGAGGAAGACCAGGCTTCGTGCTGTCTCCGGCGAGGAAGACCATGAGAGGACGGGACGAGCAGCCGGCTGCCGGCAGCGAGTGAAGTGGCCTGGCCTGACCAAGTGAGGAGGCCGGATGACCTTATCCTGTGTGCGCTCGTGCGACTTTCCTTGCTGTGAATAAGGGGCGGCTCCGGGTCGTCTGCTTTTTATTAAAAAATAGCTCTTCTAGTCTTCGGAGGATCTAGAGCCGTAGCTAGAGAGAAGTGCTGCCAAACAGGTTTAATAGACTATCTAAACATGCTACTTATCCTATATTTGGGTAGTGAAGATAAAAAAAAATCCAACAGCCTACTTATCAGGCTACCTAAATCTGTTTCAATAAATTTCTCGTTCCACTAGCTACATTTGTTAGGCTAACAAATCTGCCTACCTATTTTTTCCCTTCCTCTCTTTCCTCTCGCGCACACTCGGAACTGCTAAATGCCGCCGCCTGCAGTCTTCCTCCCGGTCGCTCGGCCCTCCCCGGCAGCGGACCTCCATGACGGCCGCCCTCCCCTGCAGCGGCCCTCCTCGTTGTGGCTCTCTGCTTCGGCCATGGCGCGGCTCTGCTCCGGTCACCGGCACGGCGGGCTGCCCTCCCCGGTGGCGCCCTCATCCAGTGCGACTCTCTGCTCCAGCCATGGAGATTCCCAGGCATGGCTCCTCGGTGGCGCTCCGGCAACTCCCCTCACCGGCGGGACCTACTTCCAGCAACTCCCCTCCTTGGCGGTAAGCTATTGATGGCCGAGTTCATCGATGGCGACTAGGAAGAGGATGACACATGGGTCCCACATGTCATGGACTGTTGGAATGAATTTAGGAGCTATGTTTTAGGTAGTACTGCTAGAGTTGGGAGCAAAATATCGTAGTATGAAAATGGGTGGCTACACAAATAGAGAAATAGGTAGTGTGTTTTAGGTAGTACTGCTGGAGATGCTTTAATCGTTATGGTCCATGGGAAAAACTGAAAAGGAAGAAAATGGAGGCCAGATGGGGAAGGAAACGGAGGAAAACGTATGAACGGCTTAAAATTAACAAAGGAGTTGTCTACGCAGCAATCGAGTGTTTCACGCTCTTCCAATTCTAACTCCCGATTTTTTTCTTCACCATCTTCTTCCTCCTCTTGATGCTCCACCGCCACCCGTCGCCCACCATCCCGCCGTGGCGCGGTAGGGTCTCGCCGGACCGGCAAGACCCTACCGCCCCCGCGGCGGCCTCCTTCTACCTCCATGCCGCCGCTGCCATGGCCATGGGCGCCCTGCCCTGACTTGGCCTGGCCGCCTCCTCCGCCATCAGAACCCTAACGCCGCCCTTCCGCCGTCAACATCGCCTGGCCCGCCTGCCTCCCAAAGACCCTTCTAAGCCCGTCGGAGTTGGAGAAGAAGAGAGGAAGAGGCCAGAGATTAAGAAGAAGGAGAGAGAGAGAGGAATCGAGTGTTGAGAGGGTGAGGAACACAGTAGATGCCCACCCGGATGACGCCTCCACCCGTGCACCTCGGCCGGCCGGGTTCCCATTCTTTGTGGCCCCTCGCCTCCGCTTGCATGGACAGCGCCGCTACAGCCGAGAGGCGCATGGATGGACTGCCATAACGAGAGAGGATATGTGGGTGGCGTGAAACCATGAATCATGGCTTGGAAAAGGAAATGACAAGTTCCCACTGCTTGGTAATAAAGAGATTGGGTGCAGCTGACCAAAAAAAGGGAGGTAGGGGCAGGGGCAAAGTTAAGTCCCATGGCTTGGAAATAAGAAATGAGAAGGTAAATAAATAAATGAGAGAAACTGGACAGAATTCCTTAAAATGAAACCATTCACATCCTAACAATAGAGAACTTCAGTGCATCCGTATTTCGGCTTGCCTTAGGCCAAGCGACTCAATTCGCAATTGCAACCAACCAACCGACTGACTAAATTCCCTCCCGCTCTCAGCCCGGTTCTCCTACTATATAACCCCGTCTTCCCCAACGGCAGGTTGCCCTCTACTCGTTCTTCCTCTTCTAGTGCCTCTCTTCTCTTTCTCTCCTCGTTAAGCAAGGATTCAGAAAGAATTCGATTTTAGGCCTGCTGCTTCGAAGCGGATAAACATGATGTGTGACGGTGACGGCAGCGACGCTTTCGGGTCGCCGGAACATTCAGACAGGATCACAGTGGCTGAAGGGGCCATTTCAGCGCCCCATGATGACTCTACTATGCCACAACGCTCCTCTGTGAAGGCGGGCGATGACATTGATGCCGCAACACCTACTTCTATGCCTCATGCCCAGCAAGGTGACTACACATTCCCTGCTCCTTTGTTCTTTTGGGTTGTTCTATTGCCCGTTTGAAAGGTCCTAATATGGCTAGAGGGGGGGTGAATAGCCTATTTAAAAACTACAAATCAACTAGAGCAATTTGATTAGTAAGACAAATAGCGAAATGCAAACTTGCTCTAGCTCTACAAGGGTTGCAAGCCACCTATCCAACAATTCTAGTTGCAATGATCTATTTGCACACAATCTACTTGACCACTACTCACTAAGAGCTCTCACAAAAGCTACACTAAAGAGCTCCACTAGATATGTTTAAAGCACAAGGCAAGCTCTCAATTCTAATTACACTAAAGAGCTTGCTATATCTAGTTTTGAGAAATGTAAATGAGTAAGTGAGACGATTATACCGCCAGTGGTCGTGGGTGAACCAATTACACGATGAATATATAGCCAATCACGGGAGAATGCAAATGACAAGAGACAACCGATTTTTCTCCCGAGGTTCACGTGCTTGCCAACACGCTAGTCCCGTTGTGTCGACCAACACTTGGTGGTTCGGGTGACTAAGAGGTGTTTCACAAACCTCGTCCACACGATAGGACACCCGCAAGAACCGACCCACAAGTGAGGTAACTCAATGACACGAGCAATTTACTAGAGTTACCTTTCGGCACTCCGCCGGGAAGGTACAACTCCCCTCACAATCACCGAAGGCGCCACGAACAATCACCAACTCGTGCCGATCCTTCACCGCTGCTCCAACCGTCTAGGTGGTGGCAACCACCAAGAGAAACAAGCGAAATCATGAAATAAGAACACGAATACCAAGTGCCACTAGATGCAATCACTCAAGCAATGCACTTGGATTCTCTCCCAATCTCACAATGATGATGGATCAATGATGGAGATGAGTGGGAGGGCTTTGGCTAAGCTCATAAGGTTGCTATGTCAATGAAAATGTGCAAAAGAGAGAGCCCTTGGCTTGGAAATATGGGGCTATAAATAGAGCCCCCATCAAATGAGAGCCGTTGTACATAATTTGGGCAAAACACGAAACCATTTCCGGTCATCTTGGACCGGACGCCGGCCCTCAACGTCCGATGTCGCTCGATGGACGCTTACGCGTCACCGACTTCAAACGCTGTTTCGTCGATTTCAAGCGGCTCTGAAGGTGACCGGACGCTCCCGGCAAAGCGACCGGATGGCTGAAGCCCGGCGTCCGGTCGTTTAAAATAAGCTCCCGAGGCGTATTTCTTCTCGGACGCGTCCGGTCCACCTTGACCAGATACCAGCCCCTGCTCAACCCTTCCCACTATATGCCGTCGATAGCTCGGCCGGACTACCTTTCACGTCCGTCATTGAGTTCCTCTTCTAGATGACGCCAAAGATCATTTCGACTAACTCCATTTCAACTCTAACTTCTTCACCCTTGCTCAAATGTGCCAACCACCAAGAATTTTGCATCCGGCGCAATAGAAAATAGACATTTCATTTTTCCAAAAGCGCCGAATCTAGTGCACATGTGTTAGCATATTTTCACAAATATTTTCAAGGGTGTTAGCACTCCACTAGATCCTAAATGCATATGCAATGAGTTAGAGCATCTAGTGGCACTTTGATAACCGCATTTCGATACGAGTTACACTCCTCTTAATAGTACGACTATCTATCCTAAATGTGATCACACTCACTAAGTGTCTTGATCACTAAAACAAAATGGCTCCTACATTTTATACATTTGCCTTGAGTCTTTTGTTTTTCTCTTTCTTCTTTTCCAAGTTCAAGCATTTGATCATCACCATGCTATCACCATTGTCATGATCTTCGTCATTGCTTCATCACTTGGAGTAGTGCTACCTATCTCATAATTATCTTGATAAACTAGGTTAGCACTTAGGGTTTCATCAATTAACCAAAACCAATCTAGAGCTTTCACCGTTCTTGGCTATTTCAGTGCCCAGGGCTTATAAGGCATCTCAGATATGCGTTCTTGATTTTCTCTTCTTGCATGTTGTTTTGAGATCTTCTTGATTTTCTTTGGATTGACTCACTACTTCTTGCAAAAAGGGTCTATTGAGTTCTTGATCTTATCTTCTTTCCCATTATTTTGGTCTCTTGGTTTTCTTTGGATTGATTCACCCCGATTCTTGTAGCTGAGAGGAGGCATGAAGCACGTCCTAAAATGCTGGGGACAGAGTACTCGAGTTCTAGAGCTGTGGAGGCTCAAGCAGCAACCATGCCGGGGCAAGGGTCTTATAGCACTGCATCGTTGTCACGATGCTCACACTAGGTACCTGATGATCTCTCACCCCATTCTTTCTTTCTGTCACCCGTTCTTGGTTCTTTTTCTTTTATGTCATCCTGTTTCTCTATCTCGCTAGTCACCTGCTTGTTTGGTTTGTCATCCCGTTCCTTTTCCCAATAGTTTGGTTTCAGGTGAAATCGATCCATTGGTGCTGTTAATCAGGTATTTGATCCTAGTGAGGTGTTGGATGGAACAGATGTTGTTAGTGACAAAATCTTTGATATCTGGAATGATGAGATGCATCAAGCTTTCCATGAGATCAAAAGTGAATTAAAAATGGTGTCTCATTGGCATTGACACATAATTCTATCGATTAGATGGGACTATCGATCCTCGAGTGCCATATACATTTGCAGAGGCTCACTATCAGTAGGCACGGAGAACTGTCGATTGGGGCAGCCTGATGTAGGCCGGTATTGACATCGAAGATATAGGTTCGTGGTTCAACCTTCAGTTAGATCCCGCATCCAGAGACACTTTGAGAACAACATTGCTTTTCTGAGAGATACAACAAAACTGGATTTGGATGGGCATTCTATCCGGGGCATCGACCTCTCTACTTTCTTTCAATAGCTTAGTGTTAGTTGTGTAGCAGCTAAAGGATGAGCAGAGGGAAGTAGGTGGCGCTGGGGTTAGAACATAGGTTCAGACTTTGTGAAGCAAACTGGCTTAATTCTATTGATTGCATATAGATACATATATATTTAGCAGTATATAGTTGGTTTGCAAACCGACCTGCTATTCCTAGTAGCTGTGTAGCAGTTGTACACTAGCAAAATCAAAATTGGCTACTACTAGCTGTCTAACAGCACCTATCAGGAGCAGTACATACTCAACTTGATTTCTTCCCTGACAGACTACAGTCTACCTTAATGCCTAAGAAAACAAACAACCAACTTACATATATCAGTAGCTAGTAAAATACACTATACTACTAGTACTAGTACTAAACACAAGGATTACTTCTAACACCAACAAACCCATTGGCTGCCTTCCAACTCTCTAGTAATGCAATATCGTATATGGTGTGGGCAAAGCCATCCCCGCCCACCTGAAGATAGTGAGATAAGTAATATTAAAGTGTGGGCTAGTAATTGGGATACTCAGTCTAAGCTAATCATTGATATGTTTGAGTCTAACACATGTGCAGCAGTGGGAGTGGAGACATCTGTCGATCACAAGCTCAAGAGCATAGCGCCTATCCCTTACCACACAACATGTGTGCTCATCTATGTCTATGTCTCCTTTAGGTTCTTTACTTAAAATAGTGTAATGAACCATCATCATTGAATTGTTGAATATTGAGTTCTAATCACAATAGTATATTGATTGATGTGATGAATGTTAAGTAATGTGTTGGAACTAACTGTTCTGAATAGGAGAGAGAGAGGGAGGGAGAAGAGAACTCAACAGTGGAGAGAGGACACATTAGGGTTTTGAACAACTGAAAATGAGTGGGAGGTGAGGCCCCTTGCCCTTGTGCCCTTGGCATTTATAAAGGCAATGGCTATTTATAGGTGGCCCCTTGGTAGGGTTGGATTTCACTTGGCACTACTCTAGCTGCTAATTGGGCCTCTTTTAGGGGGAGATTTGACCTCATGGGCTCGCCCAACAGTAGACCCTCAGCTATTAGGTTATGGTTCCACTTCAAAAAAGCTATTGGGTTATGGGTGGTACAACATGACCTAATAGATGTTCATAGTAGAAGAGGCGCATATATAACTCAAACCCTGGTCGTGAGGTTTGCCCTTCGCAACCTACGCGTGTGCGACTCACTAAAACTCCGTCCCAAAACACTGTGGGAAAAAGGGCATGGAGAAAAAAGAGCACTCACATGATTCTAGCCTATACAAATGCTCGCGCAGGAAACTACTGACTACAAGTCCCTCGATGTCGATCACCCCGATATCTTCGTATTTGGGCTTCAACTTCCTTGGCTATTTCTATGACATGGATTGTTAGCTCCGCTCGACGCATAGGTCTTTGCCTCCAGGACCTTCTCCTTGCATAGATCTTCATCTCCGGGACCTTCTCAACATGTAGATCTTTGCCTCCGGGACCTTCTTGTTGTGTAGATCTTCGCCTCTAGGACCTTCACGGCGTGTAGATCTTCGCCCCCAGGACCTACTTGTCTGAGGCTTTGGATGGAGACACACCTTCTCTTAACGAATGGGTGTAGTTGTTGGAGTCAGAGCCGAAGGTTTTTGTGAAGCCTCCAAATCTTCTCTCATGAGCGTCAGGCAAAAGATTTCACCCACTAGAGTATCATGTCCTCTAGTATGCTCCCCTAGCTCTCGAGCCATTGTAGTGGCCAAACTTGATAGCAAAGCCCCTCCTTCCAAAGTGTTGGTGCAAATGAGTCATCGTTGTCATCGAAGATGTTGGTGAAGCCCCTCATGTCGAAGTGTAAGCGGAGGCAGGTCATTATGGATGCCAAAGATGTTGGTGAAGTCCCTCATGCCAAAGGTGTTGGCGAGTGCAGTTTTGGTGCAGATGCTGAAGATGTTAGTGAAACCCCTTGTGCAAAGTTTTGGTGGAGGCAAGTTGTTGTAGTCGTTGAAGATATCGACGAAGATATATTGTCAGTGCTAACGACGGAGATGTTAGAGGAGCCCTTCTACCTATTGGCATCAAAGGTTAGTTAACAATTGGGGTACAGTGACATAGTCCACAATTGGTGGACGATTTTGGACCAGAAACCCAGTCTGGCCAAGGGAGGTTTACAGTCGTTGATCATGCTCGTTAAACCCATTGTATTCGAGATGAGGCATGCCTTTGGGCCGTGGCAAGAGCAAAGCACCTTAAACAAATAATGCTCCACCATTTTTGAGTTTTTGCACTCGTGCATTTTTTCATGTGCTTTTTTTCTACATATGAGAAAGAATACGTCGCCATAATGATAGCAGGGGAACAGTGGTGTTCTTATTTACAACATGGGGAGTTTACTATATTCATAGACCAGCGTAGCTTGATGCACATTATTGACCAGTGCCTGCACGCACCCTGGCAGCTCAAGATGTACACCAAATTGGTCGGTCTCTAGTACAAAGTTGTCTACAAACCCGGTGCTTCGAACCTTGTCGCTCATGCGCTGTCTAGGCACCCATCTCCACCTTCCCAGGTGGCGTCCATTTCGTACTCTTATCCCAATTGGCTATTTGAAGTCGCTGATGGGTATGCTGCCGATCCTTTCTCCACCCAATCTTCTACAAGAGGTTGTTACTGCTCCACATTCCCGCCCTCCGTTCACCCTGCAGAGAGGTCTCATTCGATACAATGGCTAAATTTTGGTTGGAGACAACAAGCCTCTCTAGGCCCAGATACTCAACCCTTGCACAACAGTGCCGTCGGCGGCCATTCCGGATTTCATCCAGAACCACATCAAGAAACTGTTAGCTTGGCGGGGAATGAAGGCTGATATCAAAGTGTTCGTCTCTAGCTGCTCTACATGCCTCCAAGCTAAACCAGACAAGGCTCGATATCCTGGTCTACTGTCTCCCCTGCCCGTCCCTGCAGAAGCATGGTAGGTAATCTCGATGGATTTCACCGATGGCCTTCCTCAGTTTGGACACACCGATTGCATCATAGTGGTGGTCAACAAGTTCAGTATGTTCGCACATTTTGTTCCTTTGCTCCATCCTTACTCTGTTGCCAAAGTTACGCAAGCTTTTCTGGACAACATCTTTTGGCTCCATGGCATGCCAACACATATCATATTAGACCGTGATCCAATCTTCACAAGTATTTTATGGAAAGACCTCTTCAAGTCGGCACAAACCACTCTACGCATGAGTTCTGCGTATCATCCTCAATCCGAGGGCCAAACTGAACGTGTAAACCAGTGTTTGGAGATCTACTTGCACTGCTTCATCCACTCATGTCCCAAGCAGTGGTCGCGGTGGCTCTCCTTGGCGGAATACTGGTACAATACAAACTGCCACTGCGCATTGGGATGTTCTCTGTTCGAGGTACTCTATGGCCGTTCACCACATCATTTTGGTTTATCTGACGACTCTGTCTTGCCTATGCTGGATATGGCTTCCATGATGGCCGAGCGTGCGACTATGCTCGCAGCCATCCGCCAACACTTGCTCCGCGCCCAGCAGCGGATGAAGGCCCATGTCGATAAGCATCACTCGAAGTGGTCCTTCAACATCGACAACTTCGTCTACCTACGTCTGCAGCCCTACATCAGTCATCGCTGGCTCCGCGCGCCCACTAGAAAGCTCTGCTTCAAGCCTTTCGGCCCCTACAAGATCGGCGACGTCGCCTACAAGCTGCTGCTTCCACTAGGATCGTCGGTACACCTGGTCTTCCATGTCTCATTGCTGAAGCCGGCTCCACCTCTATCAGCTTGGTTGTTCCTACGCTGCCTGACCCTTGATGGTCTCCAAGTGCTAGAGCACATGCTGCAGCGCCTCTTCATCCTCATCGTCGGCGCCATCCCTCAGCTCCTCATCAAGTGGTCCGGCCTCAACGACGACCTGACGACGTGGGAGGACGCCGACGCCATCAAGCAGCAGTTCCTGGCCGCACCGGCGTGGGGACACGCCGCAACCCAAGGAGAGGGCGGGTGTCAGCACTCCTTCCCCTGATGCACCTAAAGAAGGATCCAATGCGAGACACAATACCAGGAAGCGGGTTAGAAATGCTAACGTATATGGGCTAGACTAGGCTTATAATCATTGTGCCGCCGAGGCCCATGTAGGAAGGGGTTAAGAGTTAGCTGGCTGAGCTCTATATAAAAGTATAAACTCATCGAACAAGAACAATTCTAATCGAATACGTAGCCCAGCCGAGCGGTCTGCCGGCTGGCTACCTACTTCCCTTCTCTTCTTCGTCTCTGATTCCCCTTCTCCAGGTTTCTCCTCGCCGTCGACTTGTACGGGGCTGACAAAGAGCGTACCTCCACCACGGCCGCAGAGCTCCTCGAGGCGGTGCACGTCGGCACACGAGAAAAGAAATGGCCCGCCATGGCCAGGTCGTACCACAGCACCTGCACCAGCCATCCGGCCGCACCGTGACCCGAGCATGGCTGGAACATGGGAGACTGACTAGACAGACGGCTCCGTTTTCTCCTAGCGTGGCAATGTGGATGAAAAAAAAAATAGGAGGTGGCGATGATGGCGTCCACAGCTACTTTCACTTTTTTTCTCGCACATCTGAAGAGAGAGCTACTTTCACTTTTTTTCCCATGAGCAAGTTAAGCCATGTCAACCATAGGCCCGGTTAAGCCGTGTCAATCATAGGCTCTGTTCGGCTGATAGAAATCGGCTGGCTAAATGTGCCACCGGCTGATTCTGCTATAGTTAATAAATTCAGCCAAACCAGTCGGATCAGCCAGGCAACCATTCAATTCAAAAAAAAATGGCGCCTATTGCAACACCAGCCATCATGCATGGGCAGCCCTTACATCATTCAAATTCAAATCAAACACCAGGCACCAAAAACTAGCCATGGCCAACCCTTACATCAGTTCCTTGTTCATGTCACATGCCAACAACTCAATAAAACAACTCATTACAACACCACTCACATACAATTAGAGTAAAGTCCCAACTCTACAAATAGTTTCCTGTCCATACATCATTGAAATGGCATCATTGGGCACTTGTACAAATTACAGTCCAATTCAACATTCCAGCAAGTATCAGACAACATAGCACTACCTACATATTGGACCATGCCAAAGTTATACAATTACGCATACAAGCAACATTTACAAACTTGTAGCCTTCACGAAGCCACAAAGCAAAATGCACGGACAACTCTTCGGCTCGACAAGACCACATGCAACTTGCAGCTGAACATAAACCAGCGCCTGCATGCACCACTAAGTATCAGACATAACTGATGCAAACCAAAGCCTATCTAACTTGAAATCACCTACTTCCCATCCGAAGGTACATCACCTCTGCACAATCATTGTCCCCGTAGCCCCTAAGATATGAACTCCCTCATTGCTGTTATACTGTTACTAGCATTGAGCTGAACCCAAGGAGACAGTGGGTAGGTTGGGGATCAAATCCATGCTCCCTAATGAACAAATAATTGTGGAATGCAAAGCAAGACATTATAATCATCTTTTGCTTGGTCCTATGGCAGTACGGTACCCCATCAAGAATCTACCGCCGGCCTTTAAGAACCCCAAATGTCCGTTCGATAACAATGAGTAGCCTAGAACGAGTCAAGTTAAATTTCTCCTATCGAGACATAGTCTCTACAGGTACACCCCAAAAATTATCCAGATGTTACCTTTATTTTTGAAAGGACCCATGTATCCAGACTCCAGTGCGTAACCAGCATCCACCAGATAGTAGCGGCCTGCAACACATGAACCAATTGCACAATTAGGTTTTATGTTCTGCACAAGCAACTAAAACAATGTAGGTCACATAATTGCTTGGCAGTCGTCACTCACTGGTTGGTGGATGAGGGAAGTTTGGTTCCTTCCAATATTCTTTGAGAACCGACATGTCATGCACCGAACCCGCCATCCCCACACCGACATATGTCAAGCGCCCATCCATGTCCACAATGGCACAAACATTCATAGTTATGTCTCCTTTCCTATTTATATGGTCAATTTTGGCCTCCTTATTCACCTTAACTTTGACGTGTGTGCCATCTAAATCCCCGATGCATCCATCAAAGAATGGTGCATATGTGCCAAGTTTCCATTTCACTCCAGTATAACTGCAATCAGCTGGAACAAGAACATAGTGTGCCCACCTACACATAACCTCAGCGACATGACTCATCTTCCTACTAACTGTATTCGAAGTCCGTTCGAATCTATCCCTGCTCCTTCTAGTTGCCTGGTTGTGCGCACAAGTCCACACATATATACTTAAATATTCTAGGGATCCTATCTGTCGTGTACCCTTTAGGTCAAACCCAAGTAAAATGTTAAGCAAATGCAGCAAGTTATCAGGAGACATATGCAAATTGTCCAAGCACTTCCGTTCATTTCGCAGATTGACTTCCATCCACTGTCGCCCGGTCATCTTCTGGAAGGGGAGGTCCGGGTTCACCACAGGAGCCTCATTGGCTACTGTTGCTTTGTACTTTACAAGTAGGACAGCAGCAGCCGCCAAGTTCAAAATGGGCGGTCCTTCGCTTGAGCTGTCGCTGTTAGCGGAATCCTCAGTGTTACTCATCTGCAAAACCAAGATTTAGTCCTAAATTATGAGGTAGTGAATATTACTACAACTTAAAACTAGGAAGCTTAGGTTACAACACAATTTTTACTTTCCTACTATATTATATGTCCACTCTGATACATTATCACTTCACATGTTGAACACTTGTAGGTTCTACAGTAATCAGTAACTTTGTTTTTAATCACTCAGTCTAGCTCAATGAAACAAAAATACTTGAATTATCTACATAAGTTACCTAATTAGTGAACCCGAGACCAAGTCCCAGTATAATGCTCTTAATTAGCAGCATGGGAACATTGCTGCCTGCAGCACCATACACTGAGGCAGCGATGATTTGTAATTGTAGATGAACCTACACGACCAATTAAGTGCAAGTTAGGAAGCGAGGAACATATGCAGCATATGTGTAAACAAATGTAGAGAAGGATTCGTACCTTGGGACTCCATGATGGCTGCAACAGCTACCTCGTCCTGAACATGAAAAACCAAAATGTCTGTTGGACAAAACAATTTACAACACAGAAACAATTTATTTGGGTACTTAGAAAAAAACAGCACACAATGTTCAGGCCATAGGCCGCATTACAACGATGGAACTTCAACAAATGTTCTCAGCGACACAATACAACTCAACATCAATCTAGTAGGAAGTGAAACAACATAGACTGCCGCAGTAGGACGGCTTGTTAGGATAACATCTACTTGGTTATGGTCCTCCTATCCTCCCAGCACATCTGCACAAAGTTGTTGCGGCCTGGTTTTGTTTCCTTGCTGAGGAAGTTCCTACGGTGCAGTGTGTTCATGCAAATAACTAAAGCCTGAGCATAAACAGCATCAGAGTCTTCCAAACCATCTTCTTTCATAATCTTCACCACTTTGTCCATCTCCTCTTCCTGCTTGCTCGTACGAGCCTTCTAGAGCTTATGGTCTTTAATGATGTCGGTCAAGTCGTTAAGGCACTCATCAATGGAAGCACTATTCTTACTGCGTGGTCTGTTGACAGAGAAATCCCTAGTGGATCTCTTGGAGGACTGACCAACACTCTGGACACCTACGGGGTCTGGTGATATCTCATGTGGACTACCATGGCTGGCATTATTGGGTGTCGTCTCACGATGATGGCCACCAGAAGACATCAACGAACCCCTACCACGGGAGTGTGTCCCCACAGAGTTATCAGTAGGTCAAGGCATTTGGGCATTTTGGTATATTCCGCAGCAGATTGGCTATTTTTCTGCACGTGTGCCATGGATCCAAGGGTTAGAATAAAATAGAATAGGAACATCCCTAGCACTGGTTAGTGGGGGGGTTAGAAAGAAATTAGATGGAAGTTAGTACCCCATTGCCACCCTCAAAGAACGAGGGTCAACTATGACGCCTCCTATAGTCAGGTCTCGACCTAGGCCAGTGTGGGTTTGCAGGTCACGCCAAAGAAAATATGACCGCTTCATTTCGTTGAACTTGTTCTGCAGCTGTTTCTTGTCATACGGCAACCCCGTTGCCTTTGCAAATGCTGGATACACATTTGCCCAGCCCACGGTTGTGAGGCCTCGCTGGTTCTAGTGTAATAGGTTTTTCTGTTCTATCACTAGTTCCAGAAAGGTCCTCACGGTGGCGTCATCCCAGTTAGCACGATCCGTGGACATCTGTTGCCATGTTTAAAATGTAGGGTATGATGAACGCAGTATAGACACAAAAAAAACAACAGCTCTTAGTGTGACAAACAAGAGAGTTAGGGCGAAAGAAATGCAGACGTGCCTTGGCAGAACGCTTGGCGTGTTTCGAACGAAGGTTGTAGTGCCTGGCTTCAGGTGAAGAGCACGATGAAGTGGAGGACGCTGCCAGTGTGGGCAGCGTTGAGAAGCACTTGCGAGCGGTGCACTGAAAGAAACAAACAAAAAACACCTTGTCAATGAAAATATATGTGCACAATTTGGAATCATAGATACAAAAGCAAGCCCAAAAAATCAGCAACCCATTTCTTGTTTCGACATAACTAATTGTCATATTAAATCCGCATCCGAGACCATAGACACAAAAGTAGCAAGAAAAAAGCAGTAGTAGTTGCTCTCATCGTTGAAATGATGTGAAGTGGTGGTGACAAGGTCAAGCAGTACGAAATAGCAAAAAGCAGCTCATAAAATTTTAAGGTTGACAAATCATAATTTGAACAAACAAATATGAAGGTTTTCATCACTGTAGAAAGTAATCAGAGTATGTAATGATGCCATGCACCATTGCTAGCAATTAGCAAGCATTGCGCCGCATAAGGAGGCCCACTGAGCCATATCAATTTTGCAGTAAAATTGACTAAAGTATTATGACTAAACTTTAGGAGGGGGTGCACTAAACAGGCCCTTAAGCATTGAAGGGTGTATAATCATCAGTAATAATCATAATAATATCAAACGATCAACTTACGGCGGCCGGGG